TTTTACTAAGCTCTATGTAATAAAAATATAAAAAACATTTTAGAATTTGATGAAAGAAAAGAAATACTTATTAATTTTTAGAGGAGATTTATTTGTAAAGTCTTATTGCTTTTTTATAAATAAGGCTCTACGCACAATGTAGGAAATATTAAAAAATACGAATAGATATTAAATATTGGAGAAATAAAAAATTAGGAATAGATTATACATAATATATAATTAATACAAATAATAAAACATATCTTATTTGTATTCATTGCGTTGTTTAATCTCTATTTCTAATCTTTTTATTTCTCTAATAATTTAATGTTTATTCATGTCTCTAATATTTCTCCCACTGTGCCTAAGATTTGTTATAATTTATTGTATATTCTATTTCAAAATATGATATTGTGTCAGTGCCGTTAAGTGATTTCCTATTCTGTAAAGATTAACATTTTGAGACACAAAAGATATCTACTTTTGAGAATTCAATGCGAAATTAAAGATTGAAAATGTACTTACTTTTAATGCTGTCCAATTACTGAATATACGTTGCGCGACTGTTAGAAAAAATGGCATAGTGTGCTCCATTTTAGGTTATACAATCGTGCTCAAACATATATTCTTTCTTCGAATAGTCGAACAACCTCAAGGTTGTTCGAGATCTGCTAAGATTTTCTTTTTCTCTTTATAGCAGTCGTCAGGACAAATTAAGTATATTCAGTAATAAATCTCTAAATTATTTCCAAAAGCCGCAAAAAACAAACACCTACCTAAAGCTCACATCATACTGCACTGACTGCACATTATGCACAACTACGGTTAAAAGTATAGGTCGTCCGATTGAATACATTTTTCATATGTAGCCCTGTGATTATTTTAAGTTCAGTTAGCGCTTTCGTTACTAGATGGCGTCATAGATTCAAGTACCAAACAACGATCTTTGGTGACTTTATCGGAGTTCGAACTTCGCTTAAGGCGGGGAGCACAGACTCTTGCATAACATATAATACGTGCATAAGAAAATGTACCAATCAAAGTCCTTCATTTCTTTCCTTTCCTTGAAATAAAAAACTCTGATTGATTGGATTTTTTATCCAATGCCTCTTGTGTTATGCGCATATTCACTTTTGTTAAAAAATGTTAAGAGTTAACATATATTATAATATTATAATATACGATCTACAGCTATATAATGTTGAAAATATGTTCTTATTGATGTTTTCCACTAAGAAAAATAGTGGGGCTATTACTTGATATGTTAAATTGGAATTATTTGTTCGAAATTATTATACATACTTTTTTTTACAGTTAAACATGTTGCTCATATGGATTGGCTGATGAGAAAGTCTTCGCATTTTGTTCAAAGAACTTTCCTAGCCTTCAACCAATCAGAATAACTTGACGTAGATTGATATCAGGCTCCTGGAGTCGTGAGAGAAAGGATTTATATACCAACGTTCGGTTCGGTTCTCCCCCGTTTTAACTAAGCATTTTTCATCAAATAAAACTCGATGGATTAAATCAGTTGGTCGGTTGAGTGCTTTTAATTACTTCCCGAAGTTTGGAGTTTCTGATTTATTCATGTAAATGATTTTATGTTGCACAACAAATTGTCAGATAAGGTAAGGATCTAAGGATTAAGAAAGAATTTTGAAATAACTCGTGAAATTTTTTGACCGCCATTAACAGTCGAATTAAACGATTCTATCAGCGATTGCCGACATTTGACAGTGCTCACTCGACGATGTATTATGGAACAGGCGCAAATTATTCGCTCTATATTTTAGATAATACTTAGTTATAACATATTCATGTTTTAACTAAAAGTTTTAATCTGCTATAACAATACTGTGATAGATTAAATAAATAAAATGAAGGATATGGGCTAATTAACAGGAAATCGATAATCATCTTAGAAATGAGAAATGTGAAAATTACAAATGTAAATAGATTCACTCGAATATTCATAATTTAATTTATTCCACGTAATTTAATTGGTCAATATTTTGTGAATTTGCTCACTTTTACAATTTTCACCTCATTTCAAAATACACAATCGATCTCCTAGAGTCTCTTGGGAATTCAGGAGACACGGCAGTGTCTCGAAAGCACGTCAATGTACATTTTGTATGTCATGTGATATCTGAGAGGTATTATGACGGAATGACTCATGGGCCGTGTATTATCAGTAGTGTGTTTTTATGCTGACATGTTGTGAGCATCTGAGATTATCAGATCTAACGACTGAATCGATCAAATTTCTAAGTTGTTGTAAAAACAGAATAAATAAACTCTAAAATTAATGCGATGGCAAAGATATTAATATTTAATGTCATACTCGATGTTTATGGGTTAGCTCTGTAGTGAAGTAATCTGGAGTAGCCGAACTTGTGATACTAATATTTTTCTCCATTATATTAATTTTATTTTTATTTTGTTTTTATAATTTATTTACTTTGTTTTTACTACATATTCACTGTTACAGCAAATTTTAAATATTTGATGTACATATTTTTTGCTATGAAATAAAGTAGATATTTGTATTTTAATTTTTTTTAATTGTGCAATGCACAATTAATTACTAATATTTTTGAAAAAAAAAGAAAAGAAATTAAATTTATTTAGTATAGCAGGATGAAAATTCGATATATAGAAATGCACTACAGATATAAATAGACATGATATTTGCTGTGGATAATTCGACAATCCATTATTTGATG